GGGCTGGGGCTGTAGCTCAGCAGCAGAGCACTTGCCTAGCATACAAAAGGAACTGGGTTCAATCCTCAGCACCATATAAAGATAAACAAAATAAAGACATTCTATCTGTTAAAAAAAAAAATAAAAAAACAAGTGATCACTCTACTTTTGACTCTTGGGAGAATGGCCAAGGAAGAATATTTGCCTGACTAGTACATACACCTACCTCAGAAAAGTTCATTTCCATAAATCTGTGCTGGAATGATCATTCACTGGTTTCGAGACAGGCAGTCAACTGTGATTTTGTCATTACTTCAAGTGTACATTGATTAATCAGAACATGGCATTGGGCAGTCAGGAATCCAGGCTAATAGCATAGTGGGAGGTAACTTGCTATACTTGGATTTCATGAGTTGCAGACAAGTAGGGCAGGTGGAGAAAGTCATGAAGCACGCACCATAGAAAAGTACCTTCCTTTGAGTTACACTAACAAAGCACTCATTCCCATTTTAGCTGAAGGTTTTATTTTTTTTTTCTGTTGCTATATATTTGTGCAGACATTTTCAGAGGAAAAAAGTTTATCCATTTGAACAGTCTTAACAGTTGCTATGCAAGTTTATAAAAACCACATTATCTGTTGTAGTCATCATCACTAAAGTTACTATGCATGTAAAATTCCAAACTGGCCATAGGAAATACAAGTTCATATCCTTGGGTGAATTTTTTCACATTCAATTTTTTCACATTTCACTCTAGTTCTATCTGAATTTTTTGGCTAAGCACCTACATCTTTTAGCTCAAATGTTTCCTGTTTAAAAAAAATAAATAACAACTACTAAGCCTGGTACATACACCTGTAATTCCAGCTACTCAGGAGACTGAGGCAGAAGGACTGCAAATTCTAGGCCAGCCTGGACAATTTAGCAAGACCCTGTCTCAAAATACAATGGCAGCGGGGGTGGGGGGGGGGCGGGAGCCTGATATATAGTTCAATGAAAAATCCTAATTAAGCCTGTGCTCCATTTCGCTACATAAAAATTGCTGTATACCAGACCTGAGTGCTGTTCTGCTCCTGACACAGGTGGGACTCTGGCCCCTCGTCTGTCACTGATCCTGTTTACTCCTCAATAGGACAGGGATTTTTTTTTTTTTTAATCAGCCTCATAACATTTCTGTAAGAATGAAATAAATAGTGTAGGTAGAGCCCATGGTCCATAGTAAACATTCAGTGCAGGTTCGTTTTCTTCCTTCTTGATGTATAAATTATACTTCCCTTCTGGAAGTGGTAGTTTTATCATTTGCTAAAATAGTGTCAATTTGAATGCAAAAACATTAGAATGTCAGCTTTAAAATATACAAATGAGAGTTTGGAAGAAGAAGTCTTCTTAGAACCTAAGCCTCATGCCCCCTCTGCAAGTCTCCTGGTGGGGTGTAAAGTGCTTGGGGCTTAGAGGCAACTCACTGTAGGCCACGGAGGGAACAAAACAGGACTGTCATCTCATCACTTTGTTATTTGGTGATGTGACATGTGAGTACTCACTCTTTTGTTTGCTCATAATGTCTGCCAGGGTATGAATGCCATGTGTTCCCCTCAGCTCTGATTACGGGCATTTTGTTATCTTGATCATCAATCTCCTGAGTAAATGGATGCACCAGAGAATCAGGGCAAGAATATGCCAACGCTTTATTTGTTCATTTAAAAATAAAGAGGTTTCGTTTTACTGATGGTATCGGCACAGACAACACACCAGGGATCAACTCCAGAGCTCCAGGTGCCCTGAGGGAAGAGAGAGGAGAGAGTCAGCACGCAGCCTGGCACATGGGCTCTCACCTTGTCATTCCTCTACAGTTCATTGTGTATTGCGTTCCTGGTAATTGCCCCCCAGACTGAAGGTAGCACAGTAATAATATCAATACGCAACAGAAGACAGTGGTAGAGCAGGTACCATGTTTCAAGGTGGAAGCAGTGACAGGCCAACATAGGCTCACAAGAAATGGATCCATAAACATTATCAGGAAGACTATTTCCATTACGGGTTTGTATCCACAATAATAAACAGTGTGTTTTACTGTGAGTATATACTTTGCTTGCTGATGATAATGTGAAGCCTTTGTGATTAGCGAAATATATGATAGCTAATTATCCAGATAATTTTCCTTTCTGTGGTACTGGGACTACAACCACGGGGCTCTCTACCAATGAGCGAAACCCTCAGCTTTTTTTTCTTTTTTTTTTTTTTTTTTTTGAGACGGGATTTCCCTATGTTGCTGACACTGATCTCAAACTTGCAATCTTCCTGTCGAACCTGGCACAAATTAATTTTTAAATTTTTTTTTTAAAGAGAGAGAGAGAAGAGAGAATTTTTTTAATATTTATTTTTTAGTTTTCAGCGGACACAACATCTTTGTATGTGGTGCTGAGGATCGAACCCGGGCCGCACGCATGCCAGGCGAGCGTGCTACTGCTTGAGCCACATCCCCAGCCCTTTTAAAATATTTTAATGAGTACAAAAAAAATATTTTTTTAATCATTAGTTAAGTATCTTTAAAATTAGTTTATTTTGTCTTTATCTCATTCTCTTTATTCCTTTTATATATATTATATGATATGTGAAACATTAATGCTATACTGTATTACACAATTCATAAATAATTAGAACATATATTGCAAGTGCCTCATTTTTTTTAACTTATAGACATATTTAATCATAAGTTTGAAGACCTCTGATCTAGATTCTAGCTAATGGTCAAAATCTCCTGGAGAGAACGACATAGAAAGCCTCTGGCTAGGCTCTGGGATCAGTGTTCCACAAGCTTCCCAGCCACCTTTGATGATCAGGCATATCTGGGAACTTATCCCTTGTCTCCATTGTTATAAGCTAAACATCATCCAATAGCAAATCTCAGCTTTTAGTAAATATTAGAAAGAAAATCATTTTGTAAGCCTAAAACAGATGTCTACTATTTCACTGATATTTTTTCATTTTTCAGAATGTGTTTTTAACAAATATGTTCCTACTCTACTATTTTTTGATCAAAGAAGAGAATTTTGTGCACAGGTATTTATTTAAACCATAAGAAATTATCAATATGTAGCCTCTTTTTTTTTAACCAACAAAAATAGTACTCTATATGGTTAACCAATGTTTTTCTCAGAAAATTGTTTGCATTTAGAATAAGGCTGATTATGGTAACAAGCACCTATAATCCTAGCTACTTGGGAGGCTGAAGCAAGAGTGTTTGAAGCCAACCTGGACAACACAGCAAGACCCTATCTCAAAAAATAAATAAATAAGAAATAAGATTAAGATTTTAAAAATAAAACCTGTGAGGATATTTACACAAAAGGGAAGCGTTTATTTCACATCTTTGTAGMATATCTTAAAATAGAATTTTAGCGGAATTATTGCGATGTGTTTCCTATTTGTGTCTTTCTTCGAAAATTTATTCACTATATTAAAAATCATTTTGTGTACCTCTAAACTCCATAAACAGAATTTTAATCTCAGAATACCAAAAGAAATCTGATTTGGGAAAAAGAAGACTCATAAGCACAGAAGCACAACCAAACTGTTATGGACAAAATCAGCAATTTGTGAAGGAGCTGATACCAACAAATTGCTTGAGATAAAACAGTGATTTATCTAAAATGAAAAGTGGTGTAGCCAGCCATCACCTGCCTTTGTATTTGCTGATTACCTAAGTTGTGAGGCCTAGGCTTGGAGATGGTGCTGCTCCCCTGAATGTCTTTTCTTTGCAGAGCAAATGCATTTCAATGGCATTCATGTAATATAGCACTCTCTCCACAGAATAGTTAAAAGTTATAGTTCAGTGTGCTATAATAATATTTAGAAGAGCACTTTAAAGGAAAACATTAAAACGTTTGCCAAGTATTACTTTTAATGCATTTTACCTATAAAATAGAAAACATGTAAAAGGGAAAGTTCAGTTTTAAAAACAAAGTTTTATATTTTTGCATATGTGACTATAAACACCTGAATACTCTCCTGAATAAAAAGGGTCAGAAGTGGCCTTTTGGTTGGGGATTGGGATGTTACTGAGAATGTTCTTTACCATTCAGCTACCTTCCCAGCCACCACCGCCGCTACCACCGCCTCCCCCCTCCCCCTGCTTTTCTTTACATTTTCAGACAGGGTCTCACTAACTTGCTGAGGCTGACCTCAAACTTGTGATCCTCCTGCCTCAGCCTCCCAAGTGGTGGGTTTATAGGCATGTGCCACCAGGTCCAACATAAGTCTTCTTGATTTGTTAATGTTGTGGTTTTAAACATGGTTTGTTAAAAAGTTATGGCATTCTTTTAGGTTTTTTGCTTCATTTTTGTTTATTTTGGTTTGCTCTGTTTTATTTCTTGGCAGTATTGGAGATTAAATGCAGGGCCTATCACATGCTAGACAAGTATTCTACCACTGAGCTACATCTCCAGCCTCTCTTAGTTTTTAATGACAAATATTTAGATGTTATTCCAAGAATACTACTATGTTAGGGTCTTGCTACATAGTTGATGTTGTGCTGTGACATGAAACAAGAGTAATTACAGCTTGCCGTTGATTCCCTCTGATGATCAGGGATGAGGGTGATATGGATAAATTAAATTTAACAGATAATCCCCAAAACATCATTTTAGCCATTAACTTAAAATTCCTATCCTATTAAGTCTTGTTCTGAGACCTCCTGTTAAGCTTCAAAAGTGACAGGTTTTTAGACTGAGCTTTCTTTTCCCACCATCTCCTGGGTGCTGCTCTCTAAATGAAATACAAATATAGCATGGGGCAGCACAAGAAAGAGTAGAATCTAGGAAGCTACTCAATTCACAGAATGAATAATCAACCCTGGTGTTCAGATTTGGTCCTGATATAGTCATTAAGCCCTAAGAAAGACAGGACTGCACATAGGAAGGCAGGATCAAATAAATGCGGTGTCGACTACCATGTGGGAAGACATCTACTGAAAATACATTTCTTAAAACTATTTGTTGGAAAAAATTTTTCTTTGTATTGCAGGTAATCACCTTCTTTAGCTCAAGGTTGCTACAAGCTGGAGCTGAGCTTTCCGTGGAGAGGGTCTTGGAGATCATTAAGCAAGGAGTTGTTGCACTGCCCAAAGACAGACTAAAGGTAAGATGGCCATGTCACTTGGTGTAACATCATCGTCTAAGCAAGTTCTACTTGGAATTGTACCACTGACCCAGTACATGTGCTAGAAAGGCCAAGTATTCCCCACTCTTCTGTGCACTGATACTCAGAATTGTGGTGACCGTTTCTGCAGCTTTTCAAAAGAAAACAGCAAAAGAAGGATACCACAGCACATCCTGTGAGTATCYCTGTATATCCTGTGAGTAATTCATATACCATTAACAGAGAAGCACCTTATTTTTTAAACCCAATTAAGCAAATTTAGTGTAAAAGTATCAAGTGTTGATGGGAAGGTAGCAATGATGACAGTAGCTAATCCTTCCTCAGTGTTTGCTCAGTGTCACAAGAACTTCACGTTATTCACCTACATCAACTCATTCTGTCTTCACAACAGCCCTTTGAAGTGGGCAGTGTTATCATCTGAGTCTTTCAGATGAGGAAACATATGTAGAGAGAGGCAAAGAAACCTAGACAAAGACGCACAACTAGAAAATTATTAAGCTGGGAGATTCAGATCCAGGAAGTCTGGCTACAGAGCCTGTGCTCATAATTACTGTGCTATTTACTGTATGCCAGCATTATAGCAAGGGAAAGAAAGCATTTCAAGGAAAAGGTATGAGAAATGCTGGATTTGGGAAAGACATTTACATTTGTGTGATAGATGTATTCCTGAAGTGATCTCATGATTTGCAATTCATTCATTAAGACTAACTTTCCCATAAGAAAAAATATAAAGGAGCTATTTTGGGAGATGTATGAATGAATAATATTGTCACATAATTTTATTTTAATACTTCTCACTATGTTTGTCCTTCATTAGGTCTAATTTTTGTAGAGTGCTTTCTCCCAAATTATCAGCCTAGTGGATGTTTGGCCTTCTTCATTGTGTTTTATCACAACCAACTTCTGTTCCATAGTTGCTGTTTGGGGCTGTGTTTTTCTGTACTATCACTAGAACCATTGCTTCATGAAAGCTTGAGAGATATTATTGTAGGTTATAAAAATATTTTCAGTTATAATAACAGAGTTTGTAAAATAACAGCACATTAGTCATCTTAATCACTTACAGAAGCTCCCCTGTACATAAAACAGCAGTGAGACTTGCACAGTCCTGAGCAAAAATGGCAGATGTTTCTGTGGATCAATAAGTGGCACCACATGTACTAATAGCATAAAAACAGTTCACTGGATCCTTCAGCTTTCACATTATTCTATTCCTGACAATTTTCTAAATATATTCCCATTCTTACATAAACTAAGACGTTGGTGTGTTGGTTTTTGGGTTTTGCACTATTTCAGTTTGTTTGCATTATGCCATATGAACCAGAGCAAAATCCATGAAGATTAGAGTGGCTCTTCCCAGAAAGTGATGGATCTTGGCATCTAAGCTTAGTCAAGAAAGAAGTGAAATATCAGGAGGCCATCAGAGAAGGATAATGCAGAGGAGATGGGAGAAGGAAAATTTTCTAAGATTAAAGAATTTGTTTAGTGGAAGTAAAGAAAGATTGTGATTAGAGAGAAGTGTATTTAGACTGATTTCAAAAGTGAGGCAGATTTTGGTAATGACATGGTCTGGATTGACCATGAGTATGAGGGACTGAGATGGTATGGATGTGGATGAAAGCATCATTGTAGGTGAAGAACTAGAAGTTATGGGGCAGCCACCTAGAAGTCAGTGGGGGACAGCTTCAAGGAAGAGAAGCGACTGCTATCAGCCTTGTATTTTACTTAAGGGTAAAAGAGAAATAGGAAGAAACAAAGAAAGCAAAAAGATCACCAACCCTATTTCCAGACTTTAAGAATATAGAGTATGAAAAGCTCAGGGGATCAGGAGTAGAGCTGAGTAGAGCCCTACAATCAAAGAAGAGATAAGGGTGAAGGATTGAGCGCAGGAATGAGGATGAGGGCGTAAAACAGGCTTGAAAAAAATACCATGGAGTGTAGGAGAGAAGGAAGAAATAAGAGATTGGGCAGGGGAGATAAGGCACAAAGTAGTAGAGGACAAGAGTATAGGAGGGGACGGGCTGGCTGGAGGGCTTTTGTCTGAGGCAGAGCCCAGTGAGATAAAGTCACTTGATGTGTTAGCTTTAAGCTTACCAAGGGTCCCATCAACACTGAATAAATCCTCAAGCATCTGCTCTGTGACAGCCATTGCTGTAGGTGCTTGGGCTATGTAAGTGACCAAGGTCATGCCTTTACACAGCTCACCATCCAGCAGAAAGGGGTGGACAGTAAGCAAGCATGAAAAGTAACAGTCTGGTGTGTTAGAGCACAGTGAGTGCTGTGGACGAGAAGGAAACGTGAGCAGATTAAGGGGTGGGCGTATCAGTGAGGGTGTGGTGAGAGAATAGTCTGGGCAACATTTGGCAAATATATGAAGATGAGGGAATTAAATATGCTGACACCACAGTAAGAGAGCCACTGAGGGGCTCCTTCAGCAGGAGGAAGCTGGGCATGATGGAGAGGGCAAGGAGACAGCACAGTGATAGCTGGGCGAGAGGAGAAATGGGTGTACAGAGCTGACAGGGGACCAAGGAGGGGCACACATCACACAATGAGGCCTTTAGACTATTTTAGTAATTTGTTTTGGGGATTTTTTTTCTGGAATGAAACGGGAAACTTTGTAAGATTTGAGAAGACAAATTATATGAATCACTAACAGAAATTTAATAGAATCACTCTAGCTGCTGGGTTGAGAAACAAACTAGTTAGAAAACTGTTACTTGTCTTGGACCACGGTGCTAAAAGTGGAAGTACCATCAGAATTCATCTAAGAAATGTCTGGAGGGGAGGGGAGAGCACTCGGGCACCCTAGAAGAGAGCTGCCATCTGCCTTGGTTACAAAACCTCCATTCGGTGGCTAGAACAACCTAAGTTCTGACAGAGGGTTAGAGGACTGGTTGAGCACTGGAAAGGCCGTTGATGAAAGTGAATTTGAACTTGGTCTGAAGACAATCTAGAAAACTTTCAGAGGTTGGTCAGCCAAATGTGTCATGGATACACGTGATTTGCTAGGTGTTGTGGGGCTCAGCCATATACTGCTAGTGTAGACAGGCTGTCTGTTGGAGACTCGTCAGAGAAAACTTAGTGAATGCCAGTTGGAAAACTCTCAGATGATTACCAAAATTGTAGAAGAGCACAAGGAGTGACTGATTTCAGGAACTTGAACTATTGGTATTAGCTTTGAGAAGAAAAGATTCAAGCAGAAAAGACTAGTCTCCAAGTACTGGAAGAATTGTTTATAGAAACAGATTTGGTCTTGTTATGTGCACTCTCAGGGAGGAGGACTAGGACCAATGATTGGCAGCCACATACAGGGGCACACATTTCCATCCCAATAAGAAAGAACTTTCTACAGATGGAATGAGCAAGTTTGGGGAAGTGATGTGTTCACTCTCACTGCAGTGTGAAAGTAACAGACTGATAGCCACTTGGCAGGGAGGTGAATAGGTTCCATCTTGAATGCAGCTGTTACCTTTTGGTGCTAGCTGGAGGACAGTGAAAGAAGAGTATTCTAAAGCTCAATTCAGGTTTAAGGGGAAAAGTACTGAGGTGTGTTACCAAGCCCTGCCACTGGCAGCAAGAGCACAAAGCAAGGAGCACATATACTTCTTGTTCTTTGCCATTCTAATCATAAAGATTCAAACACTGGTAGGGAAATCCAACTGTGTTGCTGCTAAGGATTTTTCCATTCCTAAGAGTTTAATTTTGTCTATGCATGTACTAAAATTGTCATTCTCCACAAAGGGGGAACTGCATAAATTTTGATGACTGTTATTGCTCTCAGAAAATGCAAAAAAACAATGAGAAAAAGCTGTGACTGTGGGCAGATTTATATTACAAAGAATTCACTTTTCAGTTTATAATAACAGATGACAGACCTGTGTGCTAGAAGAAAGACAGATTGCTTTAAGTTGTGTGTAGCTCATAACGAGGAGAAAAAAAATATGATTCAAGAAGGATAGAAAACTAGGGGGTGAGGGGAATCTTAACATACACTTAACTGATTATTTTGTGCAAACAAATATGAGAGATACATTTGTACTAGAGTAACTTGTATCATCTGTGCATCGCTATCACCCCCCTTCTCCTGTCTCTCTGTTACAGAGGAGGGGCCAAGATGATTACATTTCCCAGAGTCCTCTTCGTCAATCTAGGTTAGAGTCTGCCAAAGAGAGGTACTTGCATGAGATTTAGAGGGCAAAAGAAAATCCATTATTCTCCAGAGTCAGCCCTGCCCTTACCTGCTGTGTTAGTCAGATTTTTGCCACTGTAATAAAATGACTGAACTAGTCACCTGATAAAGATTTATGTTGGCTCATGGTCTCAGAAGTTTCAGTCCATGATCAGTTGGTTCGAGTGCTTGGGACCTGTGACAAAGCGTCATATTATTACAGAAGCACATGGCAGAGCAGAACTGCTCACCTCAACATGAGCCACGGAGCAAAATAGAGGAAGAGGGAGCCAGGGTCCTGCCATCCCCTTCAAAGGCACACACCCAATAACCTAAAGACTTCCCACCAAGCCCCTCCTCTTGAACCTTCGGGAAACATTCTAGATGCAAATATAGCCCCACTGTTGGTGGGATAGCTGGCCCAGGGTATTGATGGCTAAGATACTGAGAGATGCTGAGAATTTGCAGCCACTTGCAGTGCGTTCTTAAGAACATAACACCATCGGCTGTCGCACCCTTCCCAACAGCTGTATCAGCCTGTTTCACATATAAATCCCTTACGTTTGACTGCTATAGAGTAGCTTCTGTTTTTTGCTACCAAACCTGTCAGGGAAATAAAACCTCTGATTTCAAACAGTCAATTTAATGAAGAATTTAAAATCACGGAAAGGACTGGGGAGCAAACTTGAAAGAAAACCACTGCTGATAGCCAGTAAATCAGAAGTGGCAGGAATGTCACCAYAAGTGACCTAGCCTGCCCAGAGCATCAAAGTGGAGGTCTGCAGGAAGACACTAAGCTTCTGCTGAC